GAGCTGTTGCTGTTTGCCTTGTTATACATGCTAGTAAAGAACTGTTATTCCTATCCTCGTGTCTTTGCCTGTTTCAAGGACTTTAGATAGGTTGCTGTATTTGAATGCACTTAAAAGTGTCTGTTTGCAAGTCATAAGGCAGAAGTACTATCCATCTTCTGAAAGGAAGTACTACTTTAGGAACAGACAAACAAACCAACCCCACAGCTACAGATACCCTCACAGGGTCTTTCTTTAAGCTGAGCTGCCCTTCTGTGCCACAGCCTCCCCTTACATTCACTCTGTGTGACCTGGACATCTTCAAAGTCTATTTTCAGGCCAGGATGGTTAGAAGAATGATAGCAAGCCTTGCCTGTTCCATGAAACGTTGTTCCCACAACACGAACGCAGCTTGGCACTCTCAAATCCCAAAATCTTACAGTCTTGTCTTGGGATCCAGATGCAATCATCCAGCCACTCCATGTATAAAGTGCTAAAATATGTCCTGTGAACAAGAAGACTTCTTAATTTGATTAAGCATCATTAACCCAACACTGAAACATTACAGTTGGGATTATTTTTTGCATTCAGAGACCTACAACCCCATGGAAAACCTGCATTTTGCATGATCCATTGCACCAGTGTATGGCAATACCCAGCTTTGTGTCTTCTCTGGAAAGAGGTGTGCACTCTCTCCATTAAATGAACAGCAAACATATTTAATAACAAACACTTTATTAGAATATAATACAGACTGAAAAGTGTGACAGAAGCCACACTGTACCTACCAGTGTGACCACTCAGGGCATGCAGGCCTTGTCCACGCTGACAATCTGTTGTGTAAATGTTACAGTCCCCTGCTCCAGCACTTATTAAAATAGCACCACCACTTTCTGGGCCTTCCATAAAAGCAAGGTCTCTGATTGTCCCATCGTGCATGCTGAATTCCAAATCTGGTCCTAAAATAAATTAAAAATCAAGGAACAAAGTAAGGCATACATTGTTTGTTAGTGCTGTGCTCTTGAAAGCAGCTACAGAGATCATACAGAGTATTTTAAGCAAGAGTGAACACACCACCAAGTGCACACATGGCTGTGCACTTCAGTACAGAACACACTATTTCAGTTACTACAGTTCAAATGAAATCTCCAAGAATCTTGGGTTTGCTTGAACTTCCTACTTTCTAAAGCTTTGGCAAAATGTACATTGATCAATCATCACCACTGCCAACTGCAGGCAGGGTTTCGTACATTTATTTCTTTTTGTAAACTCCGGTGTACTGAAAAGGTTTTCTTTGCCAGGAGGAAAAGATCATTGAGAGCACTGCACTACAAAGGACAAGGCAGACTAAGTTCAAAACAGAAAAGGGAAGAGCCACATTCAACATATTGATTAGAAGGGGTGGGCATGGAATGTTAGTTTTTGCTAGGACAGAAACCTTCTTAAGATAGATGAGAAGAGAGAAGTAGGTAAGAGAAAAGGGAACTAGGAGTGGAAATAAATTCTTAGTGACAACCATGCTCCAGAAGTGGGTATGAAAATCTGGTTGTTTTACTGTTTTTCTGTGGGGAGGAATTTGCCAAGAGATCGAACAATACCAGAGTCCTGCAAAATGAAACCCAAACAGAGTCACCCAACCCAAACAAAAGCCCAAAGATAATTTTAAACCCCTCAGTGGTTCATTGCTGGATAGAGACTACAGTAAAAAGGAAAAGAGACTGCATTAAAATATTGGAATAATATACAACTGAATATACAACACAGTACCTGTTGCATTACAAGTTTCTGCATTAAAAGGCAGCACTTTCACATATTTATCATTAGAACCAGTAGCTAACAGCTGTCCACAGGGACTCCAGGCTACACAGTAGATTGATCCTTTATGATGCTTATTCCTCTTGAAGCGAACTACAGGTTGTTTAGGAGTATTATAAGCACTGGCAAAAGAAAAAAAACCCAAACATCATATTTCTTTTTATTTATAAGGGAAACAAAGTATTTTAAAATGAAGATATTATTTTTCTGTTATTTTGGGTAATATCAAATTCACATGACTACTTGCACTGAAATATATGTATGTGATCAAAGACAAAAGGATCTTCTCCTCATTTTCCAAATTTTCCCTCATCTTCCCCTTCTATCTGTGGCTGAACATGCAAAAAGAACTTACCCAGTCCCTTCATCTGTAAAGGGTTGATACAGATAAACTATAGTAATTACTAGCTAAAAATAGGACAAGAGCAAAAATAGGACAACAAAGCATTATCCCCAGAGTCCAAAACTGGTGTGAATTTTCTCTACATCCTTCATATGTCAACAACTTAATTCTATGACCACTTTTGAATATGCACAAGTTCAATTAAGCACTTGCTGGCTGCTGTGCAAGAAAAACAGATTTACCACTCTACATAAATGTAAAAACCCTGACAGCATCTAAATATATCATAGATAATTATTTGTAGAACCATATCAGCTTTACACACTGCTGAAATAAAAGCAACAGTCCCAGTAATTTATACTTCCTTGATTGCAATCAATTACCTTCCTACAATGCTCTTTTTCTGCTCTCACAGCAGGAAGAAATCAAGTACTTAACATAAAGTATTGCAGTATCCATCTCCATATCAGTCCAGTAACATCAACAGGAGAAAGTCAACAAATTAAATTGGTATTGAAAAAGTACATAAACTTTATTTTAAATACTTGAACAGAAGAGGAAGAGAGAAAAGACAGAAGACAATCTCCAAAGTTTTTCAAGAAGCTTGGATGATTAACATCGCTTTAGTAAAGAATACTAAAGTAAACCCACACGGCAGCTAATTTTATTTTGCCAGAGAGGAAATCCATTACAGATTAGCCTAAATCAGGATCATTCAACACACTGCAGAGCTCCCTAAATGGCCTAATGCCCCATCTCACAGAGGATCACTGACTGTTCCAGGACATGGGAGCACCTACCCAGGTCAGAGATCACATGTTGCCAATCCACTGCATGGAAGCACCGTGATTATTTGAGCAACATTTGCAGAACTGTAACATGTATATGTCAGTGTTTAACCTTTAAGGAGTGCAAAAACCCCCACACTACTATTACACCTTTAGAGAACTAAAAAAAATCCAACTCCAAACCAACCTGCCTTGAATAATTCATCAGTTTGAAGGACAAGTAAAAAAAAAAAGTTTAAGAGGCCTAACAGAGCTTCAAAGAACTATTCTACACAACCTCTTTGAAAAATACATAATTTTGAATGCATGTCTAGACCCATGTTGTTACAAGGATTAGAATATCTTTAAGATAATGTAATCTCTTTGCTGACTCGTAATTCCCATGATGAAGTATTTTAGGCAAAGTGTAAGCACAGTTAAAATCAACAGTAAGTGGAAGAATTACAAGTTCAGAATTAAGAATTACAAGTTCAGAATTAAGGAAATTTCAGTATTCCTTTCATGTCCAGATGCACTGTGTCTCTTGTCACATCAGATTGTGCACTGCAAGTACAGACTAAGGCTGCTGAGTTGCTCCAGCCTTTCCCAACAAGCAGAATAAGCAGCAGTGCAGGAGCCAACACGTTTTGCACTGCTTACCAGTCAAGAGGCTGTTTGGGCTTCAAGCCCAGTAAGCTGCCTTGTATTAGGTAATATAAATTCCTTTTTTTTTGTTGTGTCAAACATTGCTCATAAATATTTTGAAATTAAACTTCAAAGACTACCTTACTAATGATATTTGAGTAAAAGAAAAATCAGATTACTTTTTGAACACTTTGGAAGCCTGAGCATCAGTCCTAAAGTGGGAAGATATTCCAGATAAAATCACTGTGCATACTCCTTATAAAAAAGTTTTAGATGTTTGCACTTCTCCCCTCCTCCAAGAAAATAACATAAGTGAAGCAGAATTAAGGAGACTGGTAATTGATGTGATATTTCTTTTCATTTATATTTTCCCCATCCTATTAAAAATGAGTGGAAACTAAAATACAGGTTCACAGTAAACCACAAATGGCGCTTTTTCAGTCAAGGAACCAATATACGTAGAAAACAATGTTTAGAGTAAAAGCAGGCCAACAGACACGCTCTGGCAAGTTTTGCTGCAGAAGTCAACAAGATACAACTTTCTCTACTGTAAAGTCTGTCCTCCTGCCAGAAACTGAATCTTGTGAAGCTCAGCTTGTGCTGGCTTGGGAACTGACACATCCTTTCTCCCACTGCTACAGCTGGAATATCAACACCACAGGCCAACCAGCAAACTCAAAAAAGCTCAGCTGCTCAAACAAAAAAAACCAAAAACTTTCATAACGAAAAGCATGGTCTTGTGACAATACATCTTGTAAATAATAGAGAGCAAAGAAGTAGCCCACAAATATACAAATACTTCAGCACATTATCTTACTTTTGCTTAGCAGTTCAGGATTCCAAGGACAGCACTGCTGTATTTATGACAATAAAATAAAGACATAAAATGTACAGGTATCAGTAGCTGCAGAAGAAAGAAGTGCTATGATACAGAAAAATAAATTATTATATTAGCTTTCTTACCTTGGGTCAATTACTTCTGGATAGGCACAAACTCTCAAAGTTTTAGAGTTGGAACCAACAGCATATAAACTCCCACTGGGATGAAAGGCTACAGCTCTGACAGCTTGTGTGTCTTCTAGAGTATTAATGCAAATAAACTGCTTTTTTGATTTGTCATCCTGTGTAGAAGGATAACAGTAAAATTAGGTTATTCTGTGTAAAACTGGACATTTAAAAGTAGGTGTGGCTGCTTTGTGGAATAATGTAAAGCTACTGTAGCCAAGTATTAACAAGTAGCAGCACAGCAGGCTGGATCACTCAAAGCACAGTTCTGTAAGCAATGTCTACTCCAAGTCCAAGAATGCCCTTGAAGCTCTTTTCTTCAACTGACTTTTACAGATAACATTAATTAGTATTTCTCATCCTTCCTCCAGACTTTCACCTGCTTTTGTTTTTCTAAACAGCCCACTTCAGATGGGCAATACTAGTTTATTTCTGTGTAAACATTTGATCTGTGTAAAACTCGTGAGGGGAACAAAGCTGCCTTTTTACTGAAAACAGTCCAAACCAAACAGTTTCTAAACCAAACATAATATTAAACATAGAATCAGATTTTCACCCTGTATGTAGCACAAAGTTATCATTAGATTATGCTAAGCTTTATTACATCATCCTCTTTGTGACTTCATGACCAACTTTCTAAGATGAGGATTTTTATTAATGCAGAAACTTTAGAATGTACTTATTGCAGTTATTTTCCTATTAACTATTCCCCTGGTTTTCCAGACCATACTGACTGCAGTACAGCACTCAAAGTTTTAACCTGGAAAACACAAAAGAATGGTTGTAAAAGACATCCCATTGGAACATCTGCTGTACAAGGAGAAGCTGAAAGAACTGGCATTGCTTGGCCTTGAGATCAGAAGGGGTTTTCAGGGTGTGCATGTGTACATCTCACCAGTGCACACAAATATGGGACTGGGGGAGTGAAGAAGACAGAGCAGGACTCTTCTCAGTGGTACCCAGTGAAAGGGCCAGAGGCAATGAACATGAAATAAAGTAAAACAAATTCCACTTCAACTTTTTTGGCGTTTTAAAAACACTGTGAGGGTGGTCAGACACAGGATGAGGTAGCCCACAAAGGCTGGAAAACATCCTCCATCCTTGGAGAGACTCAAAACCCAACTGGACCCAGGCCCAAGCATCCTGCTCTATTGACCCTCTTCTGAGAAGTGCATTTGGATTCACTCTCCAGATGTCCCTTCCCATCTCAATGGGTCTGTGACTGCAGGCACTGCACCAACCAAAATTCATTCTAAATATCTCTCAACAGTAAGAGGATGTCACACTCAGGATTAGGTACTGAATCTTTTGGTAACACAAATGGTAAAAGACAAGAAAACTCACCTCATCACCTCGTGTCCGGGATAAATTCCCTGAAGAGTCTTCTGACTGCGGCTGAGAGATGGCATGCTCTGATGCACTGGGATTTGGTGAAGTGTTTAACATCACATGACAAAACAACAAGAGCAGGGACAGATTTTTTGGTAAGTATTATTCAGACTAAAGTCACAGTTTCAGTCATTCCCAGAACTGATTAATTTGTGTGAAGTGTTATACAGTCTGAATCATTACCATTAAACTATTACTTTTACAAGGGACAGCCCTTTTTGCAGCAAAGGCTGCAAGCACTGAACAAGTGAACTCGAGTTAAAAATATTTTTCATTCTATAACATGCATATGTATAGATAATATGTACACAAGAGAGGTGGAGGAATTAGTTTCTTTCAGGTCAGCACTATTTTTAGTTAACAGAACAAATTCAGTTCCCATTCTGCCCTACTTCCCCCTTCATCTAGTTTGTATTTCATAAAAAAAGCTCCTAGAAACTTAGAGTGACACAAAACAAACAAGAACTAAACACCTAAGATGGAATAAAAAGTCCAAAATTAAAAACAAGGATAAAATGTAAGCCATAATAACCACTATTCCTCATGAATGCTGCTAAAAAAAAAAAAAGACTTCATAACGCTACACAAATATTTAGAAAACACTGATAATACCCCTATTCAATGACAAACGAATTTGCTAGCTAGATAAATACAAACAGCTCTCCCACAGTGCAAGCAGAAGGGTATTTCCAGCCCTGGATGCTCTCCAGCAGCTCACCTTTGACTCCCCTGTACAGGTGACTCTTCAGGAAAGGGAATCTGATTAGCTGAGCCACACTTGCGAGGAGTGCTGGTATTCAGGTTTGGGCTGTCAGTTATCCTCTGGCTGCCATCTGAAGGTGCTGATGTGAAGTTACTGGCTGCATTGGTAGATGCAAGCCCTTTGCTCCCGTTACATTGCTGGCTGAGTGTTTGTACATCATTTCCAAGACTCTCCATACCCATATTTAATTCTCCTAGTTTCTGGATAGATCTGATAACAAATAACAAGTTAAAAAACCCAAGGTCATAAAGAGAGCTCACAGGGGGATATGGGTGAGTAGAAGAATGAAACTCCCCCAACCTGTTAAGAAACTGTTCAGTAAGGTTCTGTTGCTGGTCAGCTCCATCTTCTTGATGGACTCCTCCCTCCAACAACATCTGCTGGTACAACTGTCTCTGCTGCTCCTTCTGCTCCAAGTGCTGCTGGTACCGCAGTCTCTGCCTGTAGTACTCCTGGAACTGCTCTGTGGAGTCACGGAGCTAAACAGAAATGAGAGTCACAGATGGAATTGAAATAGCTAATTGTGGTGTTTAACATAAATATTTACTTTCTGGTTCAGCATTTCAACACAGGTATCAAAAAACCAGGAGATTCATCTCTGAGGAGCGATGATTTTATTCTTCCTTAAAGTCAGACACAATTTACATATTAAAGAGAGAAAGCACTTCACTGTTGAAGCAGTCCTGCCTTTATAGCAGTCCTTATAGCTCTGAAGGAGACTGCTCTTCCCTACAACATTTTAAAAGTATCACTTAAGATCAAAAAAGTGATTGAAAATTGAAAACCCAGAAAACTATGTAAATCATACTCTCATTACAAATTTAGTATCTTCTTCCACATTGATATCTCCCTGCCATCAATCTGCAGAGCCATTTTACCTCTCCCTGCAGCAGGGGTCTATCCAAGTGTTACATTTTACTTTTGAAACTGGAGCCTGTTTTAACTCTAAAAATTCTTTACTTTCTGGACCAAGCCAACACTTGCACTTCCTCTCTCATAGCTTTTCCTCCTTCACATGCTGTCTTTAGCTTCCCACACTGCCAGCTGTCCAGGACTTGCTGCCTTCTGCATTCCTAAACCTCATTTTTCTTTCACTTTTCTGCTAACAGCTGAGAACAAGATAAAAATGAACAAACAGAAGACTAAAAACACTTTAGTCCAAGGCCAGATTATCCACACTGAACTGCCCTATGTTTTCTAAACAAAAAAAGCCAACTGCATATTTACCTAATAGAAAAAACCATAAAAATACTGATAGGAGAAAATAGCCATAGTAAAAAAAAAAAACCTTGCATGAGTTTTTTGGCTGTTTTCTGGAGTGACACCTTTGTTATTCATGATTTAAAGTTATACAAGGGCACCCTCATAACTTTGCATTAGTTCAGACAATTCACACACATTCTGTCTTTGTAACAGCCTTTGCATTTCTTCTACTAACAATTATTAACAGCACTTGCATTAGGATTTTTTGTTCTCTGACAATTTTTTAAACTTATAATGCATTTCCTAGTACTGCTGCATTGGCAAAATATTTACCACCATAGCTTTCCCACGGTGAATACTTACAATTCAGAAACTCCAAATTATTGACAGAAGTCAAAAGTATTTCTTTTCTCTACTTGAAATTCATTAACTATTCCCCAATCCTTGGGTTATCATCCTAAACAACAAGTATATTCTTGTCTATTCTTCTTTCCACGACTGATACTTATGTGTTACAATTTTATTCAATGTTTTGATCTTTTGTGTTCTGTGCCACTATTTCCCAACTAACATACAAACCTAAAATATGTTGCTTAGAAGCTCTATTCTATAAACTCTGGCTTCTAAATCAGCCTCTACAGGAGCACATCAAAAACAAAGCTCTGAAAATAAACTTAATTTCTCATTCCTACAGGTATATACATACACCACTATGATGTAGAAAACAAAACAAGATGAAATTGCACCAGGTACTGCATTTATTTCTACTTGTGTGTAACAGCCTGGCCAACATCTTCACCACAGCACCTCCTGTCCTCATTCTCTCCTACAAATTCTGCATCTGTTTTACTGTTTTTTCCCCTCCTGAAGCCTGCCCTATTCTATACCCAGCTAAGCTCTTCCTTCCCTTCCCTTCCAGCATGCACACTAAACAGCACTGCAGCAGAAGTGACCCCAAGCCCTTGAGGGGAGTGAAGCCCTCAAATGTGGAGGACTTTGTTAATCTTACAGAGCCCACTGGCTCACTCAAGTACCCAGAGCCTACCAGAACACAGCCCTGGCAAAGCTAGGCTGGTTTGCAGTCCCACATAGAGGATCAATAAGCTAATACAAAGTTTACCTAAGATTCAAACTTGAATATGCAAACAGAACAGACAGCACACTCAATGCTATTTTTCACTACCAAATATAGAGACTGGTATTTAAGTGCAAAAATAATAGAATAGGTAACTGTTTTAATTGCTTCCTTCACTTACCCCATATTACCATTAAGGAAAAGAAAAAAAAAAAAAGAAAAAAGATAGTGACAGCACAGGCCTTCAAAGATGAATACAAAAAATGCTATTGGATTCTGAATAGCAAAGATATATTTATGAGGGAATTGCCCAATTTTAATTTCTCTATGTTCTAGACAACAACTAATGCAGGATGACTTACAAAATGTAGTGTTAACACCTAAAATTACAAGGTACATGCAGGATTTCTCACTTGAACATGAAGAGGAGGCTTAAGCACTGTTTAACACAATCTAACATTGTCGGCTTTTTTTCTCCCTTCCTTTTAAAGATATACACAACAGTTTAGCTGGACTGCTGATGTGACAAGGCACTCTAATCAGCTGCATTACAAACTCCAATGACAGCAGAACTTTATACAATGGGGGGACAAAAAGTCGTAGTTTCTTTTACGAGATGCAATATGGCATTTTTACCATAGTAAAAACAAGATTCAAAGCAACCCATTGTCATGCATGAAGTTCTCCACACAAAGGCAAATCATTATGAAGTGATCAGAACCCAGCTCAAAGGGCCTCATTATTTTTAAACAAACAAGCACTACCTCATTTTTCTCTTGTCTGGCTGATCCCTGACTCTGTGCTGCATTGAGAGGTTCATTCTCTGGAGCTGAGCTCTGGCACGAGGTCTCACTGCCGATGGGATGCTGGGGCTCCACAGGAGTATCACTTCTCGCAGAACATGGAAAAGAACACATGCTTAACTGAGAAAAATTAAGAGTAGAAAATCAAGTGCAGAAAGATAATATTCTAGAGTAAGATCTGGTAACACAAGCATGCAAACTACTGAAGTCACATCAAACTGAAGATACTGCTTAGGAAAAAAATGCCACTTGCAATGTGCTGCACTGAAGAAAATGAACTCCCTGACAAACAAAAAGCACAGCCCGTTTCCAAAAAGCCTTACTGCCACAGCACACCCCAATCTCATTTTTTATCCCTACATTTGAATTCTGCATCATTTAAATAAGTTACTCAAAATTTTCAATTTCAAAGCAATTATATGCACAAAATGCATCTATTATGAGACTAAACTCTTCCCAAAGGTATCAGCTTAATCACCACTACCAATCTAAACTGGACCTAATATCCATGGATGTTTAACACCCATCCACTTGAACACTCCTGAAAGTGCAAGGCAGAAAATGTTTATATTGCTTTTGCTTTTCTTGTGTTATAAGTATTTCTGCATGACACTCTTTCTAAAATGGTTTGGCAATCACTCAGCAGATGTGCAGAACACATTAGAAGCCTAGGATGCCCATCTTCAGTTTTGTCAACTTAAAGTCCTTTACTAAGTGACTTGGAGCAAAGGTTTTTTAGAAGTTATTTTAAACTTTTTTGGTACCTCTGTACAATAACAGAAGTAACTCAGCTGACAGAAAGAAAATTGCTTAATGAACTCAATTATAAAAGAAATACAGCATTTCTGTCATGTGCAAGCAAGCAAGGGCCAGATTTACAGAAAGCTCAGCTTCCACCCTTGCAAATACTACCATTCAGGCTGGATACTTCATCTGAAGTTGGATTTTTGTCTGAAAAATGTAATGCCTTCTTGAAAACTACAGGTCTGGCTCTATAGTTCTAATCCTTTAATTCTGACCTCTAATCCTAGCTTTCAAGAGATGTATTATTAATAAAAAAACATGTTACAAACTATAAATGTCACATGAAAAGACCAACCTAAAGAGCAGCAGCAATTAATCATCTTCTTTAGCCTGCACAATGATGTTATTTGCGCAGAATTAATCCAGTACTCCAATACTGAAAAGGGAATTAAAAACCTCTCAAGAATCAGTTTTAACACTGGACCTTGGTGTACTCACACAAGTGATAAGGTTTGCCATAGATCAGTAATCTGACAGGATTCACCATGAACTAGTATCTTCAGGAGGCACTTACATTACTCTATTTCCATTATCACTGGAATTGATATCAGTTTGGCAGTTGTTTCCTTTTTACCAAGTTTAATTACAGCTGCTCTTCACCATAACACAGCATACGGAATATTGCTCCAAGGCAAAACTAATGGAGACACCAGCTGTGGCCTGGATTGATCCCCACAGCCCAAATGTCATCTGCTGGCTACTGCACCCAGTGCAGGGCCAGTTACCCATCTGGTCCTCTAAGAGGCCAAAAAAGCTGGCAGCTGCTTTCTGGGGAAGTTTGAGTACAACCATTAGAAAGGGACAGAACTGCTGATCATAAGAAAGGCCAGGCAGAAACATGAAGATAAACTCAACTGATAAGTACCATTTTTCCCAGTTATCAGAACATTCTTTCAAAAGCCAGTTTAGAAGTTTACATTTCATTAAAGAACTTATTAATAGCATAACCCAACTATCTCAAAGTCCAATACAAAAAACATAATGGAAAAACCATTCAGCTGCCTTACTCATCTTTGGTTTAAAAAACAGGCAGTAAATATTACAGCTGAGCTTCTATTGTAAGAATTTAAGTGATACAGAAATGCTACAACAATGGCATATTGTCATTTCCCCCAACTTCACTGGGATATGGAAATTGCTCAAGTATACTTAAGTAACTAATTTACAGTGTCAGGACCAAAATTATTTATCAAGACTTGAGGACAGAATGCAATGGAGAAAGATGGGAGTTAGAGCTATTTCACCGTGTCCACTGACTTATCTGGAATGGAAGAACACAGTAATACTGAACACAAACTCTAGCTGACCTTATTACATACTCAGAGCACATTTGTGCTCTGTGCTAGGAAACTTTAAGAAGGCCCAAATGGAATACATAAGGCTCAAACCCAAATATGAAAATCTATTTAGAACATAAAAGGATAAGGAAGAAAACAGTCTCTATACAGAGTTTAATTACAACAGAATTTAAACAACCAAATTATGTTTCAGTTAACTAACTAACATGAACAATTATGTTCAGAGTTGCAGTGCAGGTAAGCACACAGCAACAGTGCAACATAAGCCAAGGTACAAACAGAGCTCTAGCTGCACTTACCGCTCTGGGGACTCCTCAAAAATGCTGTGACATTCAGTATTCTCAAGCATGAGACTCCTGCTGAGATTCTGTACCCCAGGGTAATGGAAGTTGGCAAAGGAGTGTGACATGGGAGAAGTTTTGGTGCCGAGGTCGGTGACCCGCTTGTCATGGTTGGTCAGCCCACACGAGAGCCCATCCAGGGCAGGGTTTAAGGAGCGCGTCATGTAAGCGTCCGCTGACTGAGGCCGGCGCATGGGGGATGATGGATAAGGAGAGAGTTTGCTGATAAGAGGTGTCAGAAGGTCAGCATAGGCAGCTTTTGTGGGCTTGAGGAGTTTATCAACATGAATATTAAGCATCTTTTGCTCAAAAGCACAAGAAAACACTGTAGCTGGCAGATTCTGCAGCCACGATAATAAGCTGAGGTCCAAGTCATCACAGCCATTACCACACAAGAGATCAATGCCCAGCAATACTTCACTTTCTGTGATTTCTTCTCCTGTAGCTTTACTCTGACAGAATTCCACACAACATTCGTAAAGCAATCCCTTCATCACAAGCTGAAACAAGCGATTGTTGCTTGCTTTGAAGCCGGCCTCGCTCAGTTTCCTGTCTGCTGGGATGAACTCTGCCACCATGACACAGGCTTCTTCAAAGCAGTGCACCCGAGCCGTGCTGGGATTCCAGTCCTTGAACTCGGCGTGGTTGGTGAGGCGGGGCAGCGTCAGCAGCAGGCACAGTTTGCTGTAGTCTTCCTTAGAGGGACAATACTCCTCCAGCGCGTGCAGGCACTGCACGGCCTCTCGCATGGTGAATTCCAGCTAGGGAGAAATAACACAAACACAGCGAGCTGAGCACGTGGCTTCCACAAGGAAAAAACCCTTCAAGAACAGGCAGTAACAGAATTCCTCTGCTGTCACTCATTTATTACTGCTTATATGTTAATTTAAAAAGCATATAGAGTCTGAAATTGCTGATCCGAGTGTACAGAGAGAGACAAATTCCTAGATGCTTTGACTTCCTAGAATCCCCCGTCCAGTCCCATTTTTTACAGATTTATGGAATGTTTTCATGTCACTGCAGATTTGATGGGCTTAAAACTTCAAATCTGTGACTGAGCAGCTCAAATTCTATTGTAGCACAAAAGGTTACTTCCATTCTCAAAGCCAGCTGACTTATTTTCCTCTTTATTTCTATAACCTATGCCAGTAGCTTTCAATAAAAGCCTTGTAGATTGTTCTAGCTTCCAGTGATTAGCAGCTTTTATACTGAGATTTTCTCTTCTTCTATCAAAAATGTTAAAAAAGTTCAAAGAGCTCTCAGAAGATAAGACCTCCAAATGAATAGAGGGCTTTATTACAAAGCCTGTTGATAGCTAAGAGCCAAGAACCATGTTCAATATACAAAATCAGACATTTTTAGTTACACAGATTTAAAAACCAGTAAAAATCCCCACTTACCCATGTTACCTAGACACTGCAATACTTTGACCCACACCACACCAACACATTTGGTAACAACAAAATAAGGAACACTAATCTGATTTTCCCCTCCACTGCTATCCCAGTAACAGTATATGGATCAAGAGATCAAAGGACTAGTACTCCTCCCATTTACAACCAGAAAAATAGACTTACTTCTAACTTTCTCTACTCTGTCAAGAAAAAAAACCCTGAAGTACATTGTAAGCATAATGGGACAGAGAATTAAAACCAATTCAGTCTAGAAAACAAAATCACTTGTTTTAAAACTACTGTCATTCTTCATTTTTAATTTCATAACATTTTTGTCTTAGAAATTTGGTATTACTGTGCTGTCAGCATAAAGGAAAAACTGTAACTAATTTCCCAATCTGCACACCTTCTTTGCCAGTTTGAATTTATGTCTCTTTCCATATAAAAACCTTAAGTCCACAACTCCTGCTGTTTGCAATTTAACATAAGGAGTCCTTTGTGAACACATCTGCTCCCTCAAAAAAACAATTCTGACCTTTCTCTTCAAAACAAACCAAAATTAAGCATATAATTCATTCAAACTTCATCTGACTCAAATTACCACAATAAATTGCTGTGATTCTGAGACCTGCTTCAGAATATTTCTGGGAGGAAAAAAGTATTAAAAAGAAGAGCCCTGTACTTTAGCACAATGGCCTAAAGTAAATGTGAGGGTCAGGACCACAGACACAGCATATGGTCACTGATCTATCTGCAAAGTTTCAAGCAACCCTTTTATGTACAACTGCATTTGACATCAGGGAGCCACACTCACTTCCAAAGATACTGATTACTTTATCCAGTGTTAATGAAACCATTTGGTAATAGCTAAAATCTGTGTATTTAATGCTGGGAGCTTCTGCTCTGCCTTTAATCAGACCAATCTCGAGATTTTTCTGACAACAAAAAAATCCCCAAACCAGAGGTAATTCTTACATGCTGAGGCTCATCTTCTGCTGACATTGCATTGTTCACACATAAGGCTTCCAAGAACTTCTGCTTCATAATAATGTAACGAAATCTGCAGGTGAGATGAGAAATACTACATACATCTTGCTCCAGAGTAGTTAAACATTATTCTAGAGACAAGCAGGCTATTGTACGTTGAATTTCTGAGTTAGGCACAGCTATTGTCATTACAAGGAACTCTGATATGAATTTTAAAAAATTGGTAACCACAACATTTTTTTTTTAATTAGGAATTTTTTTTTCCATAAGTGCTTTCAGAAATACTCTATTACAAATATCAGAGGGCTAATTAAAAAAAAAAAACAACAAGTATAGTAATCATATTATTTCTTGAATACAAGTATGACTGAGCATCTATTAAAAGGCTGTACAACATGCATCATCTTCCTAAAGTGTATGGCACATGACAACTCATTACAGAATGTGTGCATGTATTTTAAGTACAAGTTTAAAAACACAGGCACAGCACACAGGGTAGAAATAAAACCACTAAAAACTAATGTGAAAAACTCATCACCACCATTTTCATAGACAATACTCAGAAATCCATGTGTTTTCCAAAACTCAAAAAACTGAATTCTGACATACATTCTATTTTACCTTTTCTTGTCGAATTTTTCCATACATTCAAGAGGCTGAATAAACTGAAGAACCTCATCCCACTGGCCATCAAGAATCAATTGCCTAGTAAAAGAAAGAATCATTCCTTGAATGTCACTGGACAAGAACATCCCTTTTCCAAGTGAGATGCTCATTTAAATACACAACAGGTCATCAATCTGCTTTGAAAAGTCAATGTTTTGCATAGGTACCAAAATAAGTTTTTAGTAACACTAAGAGCATAATCCAAGTCTGTTCTCAATATTTTGAAAAAAATAACTGCATACTACAAAGACAAATATTAAGCACTTTTAAAGGCACATAAAAAAATGACAAAATGGTCCTGTGTCCTGTGTCTCCTGCTTTACCTGTTATTCTTATTTAAAAAAAAAAACAACAAAGAGCCTTCCTTGAAGAGTTTGAATAAAGGCATCATTTCAATGAATACATCCAAATTGATGAAAGAGAACTTAGAAATGAGTTCATTTTAATTGTATAAATACTGCTGGGGCTATTTTATGAAGGAGATGGGAAAACAAAGAACTCCCATATTAAGCATGTGAAAGGAAGAGTGCCAGCACAGGAGCTCCAACTCCAGGATCAGTGGGCTGGACTGCACAGGTAGAGCAGCTCAATTTCTTCATGCCTTCCTATCACACAGAGGTCTTTATTAAAGGCCCAGGCCTACAAGGGAAAGAGGAGTTTCTACAACTAAGCTAACAATGAAACAAAAAAAAAAATTGGATTAATAACTTGACCCTTTCTGCAATTCTTCTTTCATTTCATTTTAGTCCAATATTTGTAATTTTAATGAAAAGGGAAGAGAGGTGAGGTTTGTTCAGTCATAAAATGTAATTTTAAATGTTTCAAGATCAGCTGGATAAGTTACTTCCTCACGCTTCAATATTATTAAGTACCTTTGGAATGAACAGAAAACATCAATGCTGAAAAACTACTGTGGATGTATACTGATTGTTTTTAATAATATTGAGGGCAATATCCTCTATGGTAAATTGCACCAACCCTCATGCCTTGATGATAATATATACTCCTTTCATGCTGGTAAATTTAAGATAAATCTAAGTGTTATTTTGAAATGTACATAATATTTTTAGGGAAAAGCTCTAGAAACCATTTATCCTTGATCTTAGCACTAAAATACTATAAAAACATTTTACAAGTCAATAAACCACACCTTCAGGGCCATGTGATGGGTAAGCAGATAATGGCCCATCACAGATGCAAACAGCCCTTGCTTTCCCATCTTATTCATGCCTGTAATTTCCCCCCAATTTAATCTACACTGGCACTTGTTAAGGCTCCTTCCCACTTGAATTCATTGATGTGTCAGAAAAATAACAAAGTTAAACTGAACAAGCAAACAAAAAAAAAATCTCTGTCAAGGCATGCTACTGCTGCCGGGTCAGTGACTGTGAGGGGCTCACAGAAGGATGTCAGAGACTCCAGGGCTGGAACACACTGCAGGGCTGGGCCACAGAATGGGACCATGAAAAAGCAGGGTAAGATGAGGGCACAAGCTAAGAACTCTTGTTTAGCGGCACAGGGCTGGTGACTGAATCACAGCCCAACTGCGGGTTTTCATAAATGTGCTATTTAAGCACCAGAAACAGAAGTCCTACCTTAGAAAGAGCATGTCATCTGAAAACAAGCCATTAATGACCCCACTTTCTTTTTCAAGTGCCAGCATGCTGATGTGAAGCTTCCTTGAGTTCAGAAAATCTAGTATTAGCTTAATTATTTCAGCTTCTTTAACGTTCACTGTTTCTTCAGCCGTCATGATGGCAGCCTAAAAGGAGAGAAAGAATTTTAGCTGTCATCAATATCTTATTTTCTGCTTGGTTAGCAAATGTTGGCTACCAACAAAAATAAAAATGCAGATTTATAGGACAGAACATAGTGGCATTACAAAAATTAAACAAGATTAAGTAATTGATTTTGAGGTTGACTGTTAAGCCATAATTAAGATAGATCTACCAATGCACCTGCAACATTTCCATTTCTGTCCTATGCATAAATAGGGGCCCAGATAAACAAATCTACCAAGAAATCAATCCTCTAGCAGTGTGAAAATATTGTGCTTACTAAGTCTGCAATATGTAAAATTTTCCTCTCTGAAATGCAAACAGTGAAGTTCAAAGAGCATAAGAGTCACTTACTATGTCATCATCTAGAGCTCTCACATATGAACTTAAATATTTCTAACACATATAAAAAGCACAGCACACTAAAAATGCCATCTCTGCTTCCCTTGGCTTTGAAGTAGCTTATGACAGCTAGGCCAGGGGTTTCTATTATTCCTTCCTAAGGATGACTATTTCTGTCTATTCCCCTCATGAAGGATCTAAAGCTGCCAGCCCAAGGGGGCCTAGGACAGGGCCTGCTGGCTGCCAGACTCTACACACTCCCTTGCCCCCAGCTGCGTGCTCCTGGCCCTTCCTCAGCCCTCCTCACTTCTGCCCCTGCAGGAGCTTTTCACATGGCCACCAGCTCATGGAGCTGGCTCAGGGCTCTCATGAGCTGTCCAGCCAGCTAGACAAAGTGGGCACAGGTAGCTGGGGCCAGCAGGCTGCTTGTTTAAAGCCCTCACAGACACAAGGTCCAAGCTCCTTTGCAACACAATTCCTCCAAGGAGATGAGAACTGCAGCATGTACTCACTCCTCTTGGGAAACCTAAATTCAAATCTTCTTTTGGCTAAGTGGAATCAGGCGAGACTAAGTAAGACAAAATAGATGCTGTTGAACTTTATTTTTCAAATGGTACAAAGACTTTAGAAGTAACTCCTAAACTGATCTGCTGAGAAGGAACAGGAGATGAGGGGAGAAACCGACTAACACAGCCAATCTGCACAGCAGTGCCTTATCAGGAGCCCTAAAAACCCCAAACCAAATCCCGCCCACACAGGAAAATTTCAGTTCAATCCCATGTTACCACTGCAAAAAGGGGCAGTGCCTCTTCTCACCTCTGCACTCACGCAGGCACTCCCAGACCCCGAGCTGGGCTGTGCTGAGCCCGGGGCAGCTCGGGCATTGACTCACTCCACGGCACACGGGCACCGACCCGCCCCACGGGCACCGGCTCAGCCCCACGGGCATTGACCCACCCACGGCACACGGGCACTCGTGCTGGCACAAGGAACCAGCACAGCTTTGCTCTCTGGCAGCAGCAAAGGCTGCACTGACTTCAGTGCACTCTCATCATCAGTTGAAGACCACAGAAGAAACCAGTACCAGTGAGGAACCCTCAGCAGGAGGCACCAGCCCCAGGAAGGAGGAGAGACACTGGAGCACAGTGAAAATGAATAAAGGTGCGGGGAGATGACCACACAGAGCAAGACAACCACAGCAACAGGCTATAGTTCCCAGGGTCTCTCCCTTATAATTCAAAAGGGGACATAAGATTTGTTCTTAATTCCCTCATGAAATCATTCACTTATGCAGATCCAGCAACTGAAACACAGCCAGCTGTGGGCAACCCATTTTCCAAGACGACTTGAAAAATTATGCAGCCTTCATGTATCTCATGCCTGGAAAACTGATGTTAACAATCTATCTACCTCCTACTAGGGAAAGATGCACAGAATCTGAGTAAGTCTGAATAAGCCAAATAACACAAACACTCAGAGTATTAAAAAGAAATTAGTTATTTACTAGAGAGGAAAGGAAGAGACAATTATTCCATGAAACTTCTCATTGATCACTGTAAACCAATGCTAGTGAACTTAAAGGGATACAAAACCCTAGGCCTTAATAACATGGTTTATTGCACTACTGTCTAAACCCCCAAATTTTCCATCTTCCTCATAACTGTATGCCAATTTTTTCCACCTAAGTTTTTGCCATAACATTTGACTAGCAAAGCATTTGATTATAGCAGCACAGTTTATTTTGGAACAACAGAGACCTAGTTGTGCCAGATGAAATGGCCTAACTTCTTAAAATGCCTGGGTCTGATTCTCATTTTAGTCACAGAAGACTCCAATCACCACCTATTTTGATGGGTTTAATGAAAGACACCCAGAGACCATAGGCACACTCTCAGCTAGTAAAGGTAAAAGAAGAAATTAAACTGGATTGCAGAAAGTTCTCCTGAAAGAAAGATACACACACCCACAAATCAAAATCCAGAACTTGTAGAAAGATGCTTTTTCCTTATGTTTTAGCCCTGTTTTGCCCTTTTGGCAACTGGATATGGATTTTTGATCCCAGAGAAAAAATTCAACCCTACCCTTAGACACTGAAGGGGGGGTGGGGAGGGGGAATCAATACAGATTTAACCAGCAGTTTAGCATTAACATCTTAATTCACATCCTCTAAAAATATATAAAGCATTTACACTTCTTTTTTATCATGCTTCATGACACTGGTGATTTTAATATAAACTAATTAACCTTCTTGTCAAAAGACAAATTAAGGCTTAGGCAAAGCTATACTGAGACTCCCCATCAGAAAAAAAAATCAGACTTAGAATTCCTTTGAAGAAAGGTGGACTTGGTGTTGTTTTCTCTTCAACAGGCTCTGCTGGACACAAGTGTAAACAGGAAGCCACTCTACACAGTCTCAAACATTGTCTTAATTATTTATATATTATACTGATGACAAAATGAGCATATTATTCAGTACTTTGATTAAAAGTGCATCTACATGTAAAATCCAATATCTCTGAGCTGTCTTCCATTTTCCACTGTAGTTTTTAAAAAAGAAGAGGTTTGTCCTGACCATAAAACCTCTGTCAATTTGAACACTTCACTTACTTCATTTTCATAAATCAGGGTAAAGAATGGTTGCACCCTCCATATTTGATATAAGACAAGTAAGAGCACTTTTGGGGTACAGTAAAGAAAAGTGTATTACAACATCCAGACTTAGTTTGGATACTGAACTTCTGAAACAGAGCTGAAGTACACTGATGAGCTCCTCCATTAACAGTATTATGATAATATTCAGTGTGCATTGCCTATCAGGGCAACACAAATAGCTACAAAAGAACAGTAAACCTACTAGAGAAGATTTTCACACAGCTGATGGTTTTTAGTCTGATGAGCTCAGACTTCTCTTATAAGCATTATGCTGTCAAAATAATAAGCAGCATTTTATCATGAAATTATAAATATACACAGGCTTACACATCACCCTCTATAAAATCTATGAGGTTCTCTGACATTCAGTGGTATGTCAGTATGTGTATAAATAATAATAATAATAATTAAAAACCAAAGAACAGCAGGGAAACTCAAGATTAGAGCTCACGCTGCATCTTTGGTCCATCACCCTGCATTGCTTTCTGCAGGCACATATGGCACACAACGTCACAATCTGATCAGCTCAAGCTCTAATACTCAAGAATGATTGAAGCACAGCATTAGCTTGAGGTATAAATGAAAGCAAATGAGAATTAGACCTTAATATTTCAGGTGCCTTGTATTAAACACATTTCTATACAACCTTTTAATCTTGCCCAGTCTTTTCAGAATGGCACTTCTCCACATCTTCCTTCCTTCTGTCAACTCTCTCTTATCTTCTGCTATTTCTGTACTTATTTTTCTACATCAAGAAAACAAAAAAAACTTCTTGCCACAAAACTGACACATCTTTCCCTTTAACTTTAGTGAACAAGATGTTGTTTAAACAAGGTCTTTGGAACATAACACCTAATGCTAAATCTCCCAGCCAGAGGCTTCACCCTTGTTCTGTTCTTGCTCATGTTTTAAGAACATGTCAACAGCAAGAACCCTCTCATGGTGTTAAAAGCATAAGAAAATAACTCTTAAAACATTAAACATATTTATAGCCACTTATGCATATGAATGTACTATTTCAGGAAAATGTTTATAAACTAGAAGCATCTAAAGACAGGTAACTTCAAGAGAGAGACTTTCTAGTGCTTTCTTAGAAGTTGTTTAAAATGCATATGCATTCATATGATGAAAATAAAAAGTAAAGTTCAATATTGAAAAAAAAGTTAAATTCTACAGTAAGCATTATTCATATGTTATTTATCAACTGAAACAAATCACTCGCCAATAGCATAGAATATACATTTGGAAAACCAGGCAAGGAATATTAAGTCCCTAACTATTCTGAAATACAAGAAAAAAATATTACAGTTCAAATCTTAAGTGTCCTGCTGTGAGAACAGTGACACATTTAAAGGGACACTCAATGCCAAATTAGGAGCCTTGGTTCACTGACAGCTGCGATGCAGACCCAGTATCCTGGTGAGCTGTCACACAAAACCTCAGTGTGAACAAGTCATACATATTTTAAAAGCTGGCTAGTTTGCATTAAGCTATTTCACCTTTCAAGCCACCCCACAGTCACTTACATTTGACTCTCCTGCCCTCCCAGAGGCCACTCCAGACTTGTGGCTACACAGAGCCCACAGGGCCCTTGGGGTCCAGCCAGGACCTGGTGGCTCCATTTCTGAAGTGCCCCCAGTCATCTTCCAGTTATTCTATATCAGAAGAATTTACCAAAAAAAGAAAAAAAAAAGGAAGAAGACTATAGGATTATAGGCCCATTTTTTATCACAACTGATTCCCACAGGAGAGCTTGCAGACATCTATTTCACCCTAAATCACACAATTCATTATCTCAAATGAAATGCACTGAGCATACCAAGTAAGGCCTTAATAGAAAACCTTCACTTCACTTTGCACAGCTGAACTCTGAGACCTTTTTTACTCCAATACACAGCAAATTGGTGTCCTCTCACACACCAGCCTTTCCTGCCTCACACAGATTTTTCACTGGCTTGCCATCTAGTAATCCATTTTGTTCCCCAGCTTA